AATCTTAATCTACAAGTACAAAGTCTGATTTACGAGTACAAAATACATAAGACTAATATTTGTTTCCGTAGAGAAGGAGCTGTCTTGATTTCATCTTTATTTCTCTGGAGTTAATGTGGGCAATGAGGTACAATTTTATTGTTTTGTTTTATGCTTATTTATGTAAATTTTGTATTGTCGGAGCTAACTTGAATTTGTATTTCTTTTCTTAGTTCTGACGGCGTTATTTGGGCATGTAAAAGACATGTGGTACAAAATAAATGTCTGTTGAAACCCAGGAACGATGTTGAGTCTTGTTTTTAAAACTAGAGGAGTAACACATACTGTATATGAAGTGTTGCATGAACTATTAAGATTTTAGTTGGCTTGAAAAGGTTTTTTTTTATTATTTGGCTATTTATAAAAGGCAAGTTGATCTAAATTTGATTTGGAGTGAAATTAATTATGCGAGTGTGATATTATACTGATGTGGCTATAATTCTTCACTTCATCTTTGTCGCCAGCGTCCTGTTTCCAAAATGAACGCACACAATGTGCAGAGCTGGCGTGAGAGGCCGAGCATTTTCAAATTTGGGTTTTATAAAAAAAAAAGTGGCATAAGCAAGTCTCTGGCCCAGTTTTGTGCATGAGCAAACCTTGTGGGTTTGTTGTGGGCGGAGTCAGAGCAGCAGGAATGAGGTCATCAATCACAGGGGGTGGGATATGCAAACAATCGTGCAGCTGCTGGGCTGTGATTAGTGGAACCATGTTCTGCTGGATGCTGATTGGCTGTCACAGTATGACATACAATCTTCTAKCTCCTCTTGTATTTCTGCTGCACCTTGTCCTGCTGTCAACACGATGTAATTTCTTCTGTGTAACCTCAAGATTTTACTGCAGATCTGTTCATATTATAGTTTTGTGTACAGATTGAAATGAGTGGTTGTGATATTTCCAACCACAAGAGGGCAGAAAAGCCTAACTGCTGTAATTTGAACTTTCTAGAATAAAACTCTAAAAGCAAAATGATTTTAAAACTATTTCTTCATTTATTGATCAGGAACAACAAACATTCAGACTGATGAGTAAAGTGCCAAGAAAATAATACAAACTAAAAACACAACATAGAAAAACTAGATTTTACAGAAAAATACAAAATAAGTAGAAGTTCTGAAATATTATTGCTTTGAATAGTTTTCTTTGATCAGTAGTTTAATCTGAAAAGTCCTGAGTGAGAGCAGGCTGTGCACGTTTCCTCAGTAACCCAGAAGCATTCCAAAAGCTGCTCAGAAACCAAAGTTCTGAAGGCACGGGTCAGAAGCCGAGTCCAGTTTCTTTATTTTAGGTTAAAAACTAAATAATWAAAAAAACGGTTGTAAAAATGTAAACGTTGTGCAAGTTTGAAGGTGAGTTTGTGTCAGAGATGAACAGATCTCAGGAAAAACTAAAAAGATAAAACAAAGACGTGTTTGAGGGGGTCTGTTAGTGAGACAGGGTCTGCAGGAGGCGTCACGTTTTCTGCTTCCTCTTACTGTTCATTTCAAAATAAGGCTCCTCCTTGCTGCCGTTCATCTGGGAGGGCTTTTTGGCGACTGTGGTCTTGATGTCGGCGCTGCTTTTTGCGGCCGGGACTCGACTGCGTTCAGGTTGTAGGGATGACTTTGTGTTGTTTGGGGGCAGTGCAGCTACCTGTTTGCGGCCCACCCTCTGTGCTGCTGWTTTCTGATAGTTTGAGGGGTCCGAGCTGCCCCCAGGGGCTGCAGTGGTCCTGTTTGGTACCGGTACCTTGCTTTTAGCTGTGGTCTCTTTGCCCTTGGTGGTGGTGGGTTTTCCTGGTGCTGGGGAGACTGTTCGTGAGGAGKGGGTGGGGGTCCGGGACTGTGAGGCCGTTGTGGCAGCTGCTCTCGGAGTCCTCACTCGCCTGATCGCTTCGAGGCGGAGCCGYGAGGCTGGAGAGCCGGGGCGCCGCTGGGCCAGGCGAGAGCGCTGGTTGGCGCTCGTGGGGGGCCGGGCATCTTTGGAGGCGGGTAAGGGTGTCGGGGCGGGGGAGGCGCAGCGGCTGGAGGGTTTGGGGCATTTGGAAGACGGCTCAGGGCAGACGGGGCTCCTGGGGTGGGAGGCGGCGCCGTGAGGTCGGACCTTCAGCTTAGAGGAGGAGCAGCTCGAGTTAACGGGAGCAGCTGATGGGGTTACAGCTCTGCGCTGTCCCCCTGAGCTGGGGGGAGGTCTGCAGGAGGTCCCCACAGGAGAGGAGGGCATAGAGGCGGAGCCTTTGGTGCCGATGGGCAGGGGGAGCTGGGTGGGCTTCCTGGGCGAGGAGGGTGGCGTCACGAGGTTCTTTCTTGTTGCTGAAACCAAACCTTTCTGCGGCAGGGTGGGCGAAGGGGTGCAGGAGCGACATGTTAGACCTGCAGCGGGCGCAGGCGCTTGGCACACCGAGCCTGAGGAAGAGGAGGAAGACGAGCTGGAGGAGGAAGCAGAGGAGACGAGGTCGTCGACGGCAGCGAGGGGGTCCATGTCAGGGGGAGGGGGTGGAGCAGCGTTGCCATGCTGACCACCCAGACCCGGCGGACCCTTCTGGAAGGCCAGAATCTTCTGCTCCAGAGTGGTGAACTGCAGCACCCGCAGCGGGTCGTATTTAGACAGGAAGCCTTGCAGCGTGTCCCAGCCGCCGCCCACACGCACCATCACGTGTTTCCCATGAAGCATCTGAAGAGAAACATTATTTATCACCCTGAGGTCAAACAACGATGACATCATTCAAACACACTCCCAGAATAACACAGATTAACTTGTCTGTTGCGGCGAGTCGTGGCGTTCTGAATAGTAGAGTGATCATGATGTAATCACTGTTGGGTAATGAGCTTAACGTGCCACATAGGCTCCGCCCCCACTCAGGCTCTGCCAGGACACAGAGCCTGACTACAACCTGTGTGTCAGAGGGACACTCACCCTGATGAAGATGGTCTTATCTCCCAGTCTGTAGCGGCCCTCAGACAGGTACTCGATGGAGACTCTGTTGGAGCAGTTGCAGACGGGCTCGTCCATGTTCAGCTCCTACAAAATAAAAACCCAAGCCACATGAACAACCACTCATCTGAGRATACACCACGATTTGCAAACTTCATACACTATCAGCTTTTTATTTTAGCAGATTATCGTTTTTGCAAACTTAAATTAGCGGACCGTTATCTTCTGCTAAATGAGTTTACACTAATTTGAAGTCGACTTAAATGTTAAGTCCACTAAAAAAAAAAACACACACACACACACACAAGTGTAAAAACGTTTTTTGATCCCATTTATCCCAAATTTAAACAAACTATCCCTTCTTACAAGCAGTGCTGGATGTGTCAGTGTGTTARYATGTAGCATCTTTAGCTGCTAAACTTCAAACTAAGAGTGTCAAAAAGAAATAAAGATTTAAACAAACATAAAACCACCGATGTCAGTCTGTACTGAAGAGGATCCTGCTCCTYTAGTTGTTAGCACACAGTTCAAAAGCCTGCCTCTCTGATGGTATAGGGGTGCATTAATAATTCAGTCACCCTGATTGCACAAGAACTTCAGAAGATGTGAGCTAAAACCACCATCAGCAGATGAGTTCAGATATGTTCAGTACTAACAGAATCGTGATGATGCTCATTTCATCCCAACTACTTTCCACTTCAGTGACAGTGGTTATTTTTAGCGGTGCTGTCTCCTCTGGGAAGAAAACAATCAAGCAGACAGTGTTAGTGCACGTTCTGATCCATTGAACCGGGCTAAATAAATAAACCCATCAAACAGGAACCACAACCCCCATCAGGGATGTTTCACAACCCAGTTCAGTCACAGGCTGCTCAAACTAAAGAAAGAAATCTGTGCACATATGTACGAGTCACGTGTGGTGGCGAGTCATGGCGCTGCCGGCGGAGCGTCACATGATCAACTTGGTGCGTCACGTAGCCTGTGGGGCGCCGACCGAGCGGCCGGAGCCCAATTCTGCTTCAAATGGGTCGCACATGTACTGCCTGTGTGATCAGCTGCTCGCCTCCCAAGCGTGCAGAGGAACACGAGAACGCAGCTGCCGCACGTTTAGAGACGTGACGCGACTCGTTCTTGTCATTTCGCCTCCAGGTGGAAACGTTTCCCGTCGTGTTTCGTTTAACGTGATGAACCCACCTCGGGCTGGTAGAGGGCGCCGTGCTGGCAGCACACGCTGAAGGTTTTCACAGCTGGAGGAGGCTCCTCCGCCAGCAGCAGCGTCTCCTCCAGCTCGATCTCCTCCTCCAGCTTCACCAGGACAGGAGGCTCCACGCCGTACCTGAAACGAGAGTCAAACAGCCAGGTGAGCTGATGAACACTCAAACACAGCCGGGTTTGGGTCCGGGGTCAGAAACTTACTTTGAGATGATGCGGCCGATCTCCAGCAGACAGAGACAAACCTGCCGAGGCTCCTTGTGCAGAACTAAAGACAGAAAACAGATCAATAATTAAAGTCCATCAGCTGATTGTCAGGTTAGAGATCTAATCTATGAGAAAATATATTTAAAAAAATACAATTATGATACATCTTATCTTATATTTTAATGATACAGGAGGAGTTTGGTCTGTTTAAAGTCATTAACTAATTTCTATGTTTCCATCAAAACAAAACAAAAATTCAGCCGTTAAAGACTGAACTTTGCTCTGAATGTTGGAATAAATCAGCTTCTGTTTCTCCATCAGAGCTGGACTCTCAGCCTGCAGTGGTATTTTAATGAGTTACTGTTTCCTTACAGACTCAGCAGCTCATGTTTACTCAAAATGTATCAGAATGAGGTGGTCAGTATGTTGGAGGTCCAAAAAAAGTTTTTTCAGAAACTCAGAGGTCATTTTGACAGTAAATAAAGGATTTTACCGAGGCCCTCCGACTCAAACAGGTAGGTTTCCTCCACCCCGATGTGTCGACACCAGGCCAGGAAGTTGGCCGTGTTGTCGCGAGCGAAGAAGGAACCCGGAGAGGCGTCCCACTTACACGCAACTTTCCTGGTTGGAAAAAGCTGCAACGAGAGAAAACAAACACTGGTTGTGTCAAATACACCAAGGACTGTTTCAAACTCAAATAGAATAAAGAGACCATGTTTTTAGAGACTGCTCTGACCTGCGGAGCCGTTTCCCTCTGACTCACCTTGCTGAGAGCAGACGGGCAGATCTGCGCGACTTTGTCCTGCAGGACTCCGATGAGTCGGCAGAGCTTCACACCGTTATTCAGCTCCTCCATGAAGAACTCAGCTTTCACCTCATCTCCTGCAGAAATAAATCACTGAATCAGGTGTGGAGCAGAGAAACAAGAACATGCAGGACAGGACCGRAGTTTGACACCTGTGATGTATCGAGTTTCTGACACATTGTTTTCTTTCACGAGCTTTTGTTAATTTTAACATAAAGAAGAAACTCAAAAAAGGGCGTCTTAACGTTTTTATTAAAAAAGGTGCCAAATAAAAAAAAAACATCTCCCAGTAAAAACTCCACGCTAATGTTTCCTTCCTGTGGAGGTGCTTAGAAAACACAAGGACTCCACAGTCTGTCTCTGAGGCTCCCACGACCCCTGCGTCGTAAATCACAGCTTGAGGAAACTCCATAAAAGACAACAAGTTAAACCCTGCTGAGAACAAAGTCTACAACCATCAGAGTAAAGTGACAAAGACGGATCTACAAAAGTCTACTTCCACACAACCAGAATCCAGCCCGAGGCTGAAACTTGACCCTCGTCACTTTGCTCAGCAGAATCCAAACCTTTCAAAACTGAACGGTTTAAAAAGGCTCAGAACCTGAAAAGCAGATGATCATGAGTTCAGAACGTGATGAGTGTTGTGTACGTGCCCTCATTCCTCCTGAGAATAACTGAAAAAAAAAACTCCGCAGCAGACAATAGAGTCAGTTTCTGGTCAGCTTCAGTTTCCTTGCTGCTCCATTGTATAACAAGAGACAATGAGGTCTGGATAACAGCAGAGATGGATGAAATGAGGGGTTTTGTTCCACTCTTTTCTCTCTGTTCTCCTGGGAGCTGATTGGAAATGACTGCATCCAAATCCAATTACACAGACACTGTGTGTCAATAGTGTGGCAGTGTTTTCCTCGCCTGGAGGGACAAATCTGTGCACACTGGTTTTAACGAATCATATCTACCAGCTCCACCCGTGTCAAACTGTTTTACCTGCATAAGTCAGCCAGCCTCCACTAGAAACGGTCTTCTCTGGAGCTACAAGTAAATACTGACTCAACGTACCCAACATGCCGCTGAGCCAGATGGCCAGGTCCTCCTGCATGGGCACCAGCGTGGCCTCGTGGCGCACCGCGAGCCATTGGTCGTACTCGAAGACGTTGGCGAGGCCGGGGCCGTGCCGCTGCCCCAACGGGCTACGAGGGCCCCTGGGACTCAGCAGAGGGGAGTCAAACTTCTCACCGAACCAAACCTGAGGTGGAGAGGGAAGGTTTCAACAGAAACTGTCAGATACAACCAAACAAGAAAAAACAAGTCAGAGTCCTATTTTTAAAACTGAAATATTGCAAGAAATAAAAACACACTGGCTAGTGCTTTTGTGTGTATTCCTCCATATGTAACTAATCTACATCCTGTTCTTCATGACACTGTCCTGTATGTTTTAGATATTCCCCTGCTTCAATACACCTGATTCAGATCAATTACCAAGTTTACAAATTAAGTTTAGCAGAAGCCTGTCAATCACTCGGTCAGTCAGGTGTGTGGAATCATCAAAAACAGGGTTGAAGACCTTGGTTCTGAATGATTGGACCACTGGAGATGGGCACCAGCTTCCATCAGAGTAAGGAAGGAACAGACAAAATAATAGGACAGATACCAGCGTGTTGAACCAGCCATCAGTCTAAGACTATTCAAAACCACAGGACATCGTTGCAGCATTCACACGTACTATAGATACTATTTATTATTTATATGTGACCCATCACATCGGAACGAGGATTAAGTCCAAAAGTGGTAAATGGAGAAATAGGCAAATAGTATTTTGACTAAAATGTTAACAAAAATTGCATTTTGTCAAAATATAATGAATAATTGCCTTATCAATGTACCATTTGAATGAACTGTTTGAAATATAATCATAAAACTAAATTTTGAAGCATTTTGAGCAGTAGCATCAAAAAACCTGATTGAGGAAAATTGCCTTAAAATTTTGAGATTTTTCCTGTGAGCTAGCAATGTTCTGGTTTATTTCCAACTGGGAAATCTCAATATTCAAATATAATATGAGGTTTCCTCTTTATACGGACATCAAAAATTCCTCATTAAAATGACATAAAATTAGGATTCAGACCAAATATTTAGGTATTATTGTAACCAACAAGACCGATTACAATATATGGATTTAATTATATCAGAATGATCCAGGTATCAAAATGTAGCTTTTAAAGCCAAGAATCTGAAAATGTAATTAGGTAATTTTGACCAAATTTGACTTAATCCTCATTTTGATATGATGGGTCACAAATATTCTCCTCAACACCCACAGCTGGAACCATCTAGGTTTATTGCAATTAATACCAAAAATCATTGATTATCGTATACCAGTCAAATGATTGGCTGATAAACATGTTTAGCTTTGGTATGACACATTTTCCTTCATGTGTGTGTAAAACAATCCTTGAGGTGATGTAACATAAGAGTGTACGTCTCAGTCTGTACAAAACCTGTAAAAACATTGTACTTCTAAAAGCCAGGCAAGATGTGAGAAATTTAACAGCCTGATCTCAAACGCAGCTCTATTAGTTTCAGAAAAAAAGTCCATTTAAAGCTCTTAATGATAAAACTGATCTGATCACACCACTGAAATGTTTGGAGTTGAACACGTTTCCCTGCAGCCAGAGGGGAAACTTCATTCCTGGCTGCAAATGTTCATTACATCTCCAGATTTTACATAACTCACTTCTGGACCCACCATGTCTTTCTGTCCACTTTGTGGACATCTGCTTAAGACACTCTAATCATCTGGTCGATCACACATCATTGAGCAATAATGGGACAGAGCATCATCTGTGGTCAGAAGGCTTATTGAGCCTAAAACCAGGCCAGGAATTCGAGTTTGCTCGGCCAACAAACTGGAAACCTTGTTGTGAGAAAAGAAAGGAGAGAAAAAAAGACCAATTTCCACAGAAATGTCCTGAGGATGATCTGAGCTGCCTCTGCAGAACTGTTCCAGAGATAGTTGGACAGTTTGAGTCTCGTGAGACAAAAGCCTCAGCGTCCACGCCTGAGCAGAACCTGAATGTTTATGGAACAATTTAGTCAGTTAGAAATGTTCAGCTTTAACCAGTTTGTTATAAAGCTGAAAGGTTCATGTTGTTCAACAAATCTAATGAAGGTAAAACTAACAAAAACACTGAATTATACCCCTGCAGTCCACTGGGTGGAGAGATTATCCATATTTATCAAAATTGAGAAAAATTTCTTAAAGATCGTCTTAAAACAAATCAGACCTCCTAAACCTCCTAAAATAAATGTAAAGTCTGATGACCATACCTTTCTGTAACCACGTCTCAGTGTTTAAATTTAGAGATTGTTTGGAGAAAGCCTTAAAGTTGGTCTGAACACAAAGATTAAAAAAACATACCAAAAACAAACTTTGGTGTGACCTTTGAATTCAAAAAGTGCAGTTCTGGTGGGAACACAAGGACCAGCTTTCTAATAAATAAGTAGGACAAAGAGGCGAAACACCTGATGTTTCTGTGATCCTGCTGATCTGAACGTTCAGAAATGAGAACAAGTGTTTGTGTCTCAACATCCAGCTTGTAAGATAAGATGGCAGCACAGAGAAATGACGGGATTTTATTCAAAAGGACTGAACAATGAGGGAACAACCTGTTAATCCTGTCCCTGCTACCCCACCTCGGTCCTTACAGCACAGGAATGTGGTCTGATAATCCAGCAAAGAAATGCAAAAATACTGCAATGTAGCATTACAGCCTTTAACAACCAATCACCTCAGATTTAGAAGCTCTTAACATGAGCCTCTTAATCTGATGAATAAACTGAACTGAGTGAGGTGCAAAAGAAAAGTGGGATGTATAAAAATCTCATTTTTTCACCGACCATCCCAGATTACGTCAGACATCTCAGTTTAACTTCTCATGACCTTTGACTGACCTTTAAGTCTCAAGGATCGTAACTAACCCAGGATGTTTAATTTAGCCGAGCTGAACTAAAACCAACTACTCTTTACAAAAGGCTAAGAGTTATTGCGACAGCCTGACATTTCTAAAGCCTGTAGGGGTTTCTTTACACAAATCCTTATTTCTAGTCACGAGGAGCTCCTGAAGCTGTGAAGTCCGAGAGATGGGATGATACAAGCTGTGTTGAGTCCATCAAGAAATGGAAGTGGAAGGAATGTGGGATGTGTAGAAATCTACCAACACCAGGCCGTCCTCACAAACCGAGTGAGCAAGAAGAATAGTTAAAAGGGATCCATGATTAGTTGTAACATTAGACTTTGTGATAAACATATTTTAACTGTAAAATAAAGACTAAATACTGTAATAAGTTTTAAAATATATTACACGGACAGGGCCATTTTATTTACTCACAAAGCATTCTGGGTAAATGATGACGTGGATAGGTCCTCGGTGTGAGCGAGCTATATCCACCCTGAAGTGGATATAGCTGATCTTGGACAATATCTGATGATTGGCTCTTTTAAATGAAACCAGAGATCGTTGACAGAGAGAAGGCAGAAATGACTCAGCCTGTTACTGAAAATATGGATGGAGGACAACAGAGCTGCTTCATATAAGAAGAACCTCAGCTTAGCCTGTTAGCCTTTTGCGCTAGTGCGCAAAGGCTATAAGTTAACTCACTTGGAAAACTCTAGTCAAATATTAAATATGACAACAGTTGAATATTTGATAGGGTTGCCTGGTGGGTTTACCTGAGACAAAGTGATCATTTCAGACATGTGGGGTGTACAGGGATCACTGTAGACTGATACTGAGATACACATGAAGGGTTCAGTCATTCAAGACCGATCTAACCAAGAGACAACCAATGGATTGTATACCAAGCATTACAGAACATGGTTTCACAATCTGGACATCTCAACGTCTTGATGACCAGCAAGAGCCACTCTACAGGTCCTCTGTCCCACATGGGCTGCTGGAACACCASAGCAGGAGGCGGCTGGAGCAGTGAGTCAGTTCTGCACAAACATGAGTGACCGATCCTAGTGCTGGGTGGTATACCGGTTCGTACCGAATACCATTTTTTATTTTTATGATATGAATTTTCTGAATACCGACATACTGGTTAAAATCAGGGGAATGCGCTAGTGCCTGAACAYGTGCAGAACGTTTCGTCGCGGCCGCCAGTCAACCATTTCCCGGGGGACACTTTTCTTTGCAGCACCGCTATGTGTGTTAGCATGCTAATGTTATTGTTGAGCAGTTTGTTGAAGCGGCGGGTGGCGATTCCACTGCTTATATTGACTGACATTAAAAAACATCCCGTTTTCGCTGTCGGTGAATGTAGTAAACACCTCTTCAGTGACGTGCACAGTTAGATTAAACACACGACTTTAATATGGAGATGTGGAGATGCATGGAGACTTTAGCGTGCTTCTATTGTGAAAAACCAGGGGCGGGGGAGTTTTGTAGTGGAATTGAGTTGACTGGTGTGCAAGGTGAGTCATGCTGTTAATCTTTATTAAATAACATAAAACAGTAGAAACGATAATCTTTTATCCCTCCTCTTTCACAACCGGACCAAAATGCGTGACTACTGTCTCCAACCAGGAGGAGAAGAAAAGACGTTTAGAGGAGGGAAACAGAGATACAGACAGAGGTATAGTAAAAGAAAAAAATTAATAAGCTGTTTTTGTACATTTTATTATCGCTGACCTGTGATGAAAAGAAAAATACTGTGATATACTGTGAAACCGGTGTAAATGTTGAAAATACCGTGATATAAAATTTTGGTCATACCGCCCAGCACTAATCAATCCTGTCAATGTTAGACATCCTGGTATTACTCCTCCTGGGTGAAATCCAGGAAAGCCTGATATCTCAGAGCTGCAGCAGTGACGGCCTACATCTGATTGTTTACAGGCCTGTTCACACAGGAAGAGTTTGAGAAAAAATAATAATTTCAGCCTTGACACAGAAAACAGTTGTACAATCTCAGATATTAATTTATCCAAAATACTAATTCATTTAAATTTAGCAAACTTTCCATTTTTAAAAATCATTAAAAAAGACAACAGCTACACTTTCTCTTATTTGAGTTTGTAAAAGTATTAAAATTCAGTTATTCGGGACTTTCAGGATAACACGTGTCTTGGCTGAGATTTAAGCTAATATCATATCCAACATCAGGTTTTTCAGTTCTTGTATTTACAGTTGTAGTACAGACGAGCACATTTGCTCCTTAAACATCCATGAGTGCGTATCTCTTCAGCATGGTTGAGCAGACCAGTCAGGGTGTGACCCGACATCCAATCCGAGCACTCCACAACAACGCCGAGCTCTGGAAACAACTGTAGCGGAGTATGAGGATATTAAACGGGTTTAAAAAAATCCCTAAATAAATGCCAAGACATGTGTGGAGTTATGTCTTTGTGTTTACCCCTCTGCTCTACAGATGATTCCATACCAGCTGTTAGTTTTAACCACAAACACTCCAAGTAACCCGATCAGTGGGATTCATTTGGCACGTTTAAAGCTGCAGCATCCAAATGTAGACTGAGGGGTTTCCTGCCACATGTTCTGTGAACAGAACCAAGATGCGTATTTTACATAACCACAGTCCAAGAAGAGAGAGGACGAGCCAGAACTTTGAGCCAGACGAGGGGAAAAAAAGCATCTGAAGGAGGTGTTGCTGTGTGACAAATTTGTAATACGATACGTTTGTTTTGAGTTTTGGGATGACTTCCACATCGTTGCTGGGAGGGGAAAGGGGGAAGAAGAAGAAGAAAAAATAAAAGAACATTCCACCCACTCCTCCCAAAACAAAATGTGAAATCCTCAGGGTCCGGGCCATGGCACGTCAGATACACATGATAACAAGATGACGTGTCGTAACACAGGTGGGCTCTGCAGTTGTTCCGCAGACAGACGGTTATAGTTTTTATTTTGATTTGAATAACTGAAGTAAATCAGGGAGCGGTCGACACGCTGCCAGACATTTTACTACAGCATTCTTAACTAAAAAACCCCACCAAATTTTGATGGATGTTTTGAATAATTTGATGTGTGTTTCTGTAGAAAGATTTTATTTGGCCCACTATCAAATCAACTACAGCTCAGAGTTTCCTGCTTTTCTTTCTAAAACCTTTACATCTTTATTACTTTTCCATTACACAGCTAGTCTAACAGAATTATGCAATGCACCAGAAGCGCTACAGCTAGCTGCTACTGCTACTCTTATTCTTGCAAATTACGTAAATAACGGTTTAATGTTTTATTTGTAATTTAATAAGTTTCCAAGAATAAAATAATTAAGATTAAAGTCATTTAAAGAAATGTCATCAATCTGCTTCAATCTTGGGGGCATTTTGACTAGTCATTAGCCCATCAGTTGTCACATGTTTTAGTATTTGGATCACTTTTCTCTGAATCGACGAGTCATTTTATGACAGCAGTGGTCCATCTGATTGTCTTATAAAATCACTGTCTTCTTGTTTGTATCTGCAATATCAGTTTGCACCATATTAACAAACTGCAATCATAATAAATTTCATACATTGTGAAGCTCCACCCCATATTTACCAAACAAAGTAGGAATGTGTTTGTCGCCTTTAACCTGTCCTCGTTAGTAAAGCTGAACTCACCTGGATGCCAGCCTGAACAGCCATGACTCTGTTCCCAGAAGGTTTACTTCTCCATCCTGTGAAGAGATGAGAACAGATTCTGTCAGTTATGTTCCAAAACAGACTTAGGGAGTTATCCTGGACATTTAAGATCATTCCTCAACAACACTTTGACCAAGAAAAAAGAGAAATCTTTGCAAATTTTCAAGACTGGATCAAAGAAAGTAAATGAGTGGGATGATCATTTCAAAACAAACTCTTTAAAATTAACAGTCTGTCAGGGTGGGTTGCACAATGTTTACTGGTTTTTAAACAGGCCTGCATGTTGAGTCATTTACTCATTGCTTCCAGTTTCTGACAGGTTAATGTTTCACTGGAGTCAAACAAAGCAAGTTAATATTTATGAAGCACTTTTTAATCCCAACATAAAAATGACTTACTGTACCGCACACAGTACATCAAGAGCTGCTATAGTAACATTTAAATTCACACCAAACTGTCATTGTTTCAAATTTAAATTTTATATATATATATATGTGCATCATGTTCGATAAAAAAATTACCCCCCCCCCTCAAAAAAGAGCATCATTCACAACCCCAAAAAAACACAATTTGCAATAAGCAAATTCAACAGAATCAGGTTTTGTTGCCAACAATGAGTAATTTGTTTACTCGAACACTGATGTTGGACAGCTTTGGCAAATGACGATGAGGACAATGTGTTGGTAAAATAATCCCATGATGCAAACAGAGCATGAGAATAAAAAGGTATCAGACTAACTTTTAACCTTCGACCTGGAAAGTCTGTCTCTCCTGAAAAAGAAACTGCGACTAAAAGGTTTGAGGACCAGGATGGACTGAAATAATGACCTCCACAAAATCATTGTTCAGAGTGCACAACTTCATGAATTTGTTTTGTAAAAGCCCCTGAAAACTTCTTGGAAACAAAATATCCTCTACAGTTTTTTTTTTCACATAAGATCATAAAGAAATGAGCTGTACCAAAATGTGGTACAGAATTACCCGCAAACAAACATTCAAGGACGTAGAAAGTGTTAGAAGCATAAAAAAATAAAAACGTATTGACAGTTATTCTGGCTTTTTTTTTTTATATAAATTGGTTCAGACCCAATACAAACACTGTGCACTTACATCTCAAAACATGTTCAGATTTTGGGAGCAGGAACAAACTTTTCAGTTTCTGGTTCAACTCAAAAACACTAAAAATAAATAAAGGCCTTTTTATATACTGTACATGTTAACTTTTCTGTAACATTTGACCAAAAAAAAAAAAAAAAAAAAAAAAAAAAAAAAAAAAAAAAAAAAACGAATTCTAGACTGGAACTTTTAATCTTAAGCTTTCTGCTGTTCGTTTGAAAATTGTTCTGTCATCATATTCCAAGTTTTAGCACATTATTCTTTAAAATTTATCAAAAATAACTGAACGATTAACAAACACATTTTCCWCTCAGGTCCACATTGGTGGTTTCAGTGCAAACATTAATCTGTTCCAAAAAGCCTAATTAAAAGTTTAAAGTCCACATTTACAGTTTGACTAATTAAATCTACATGACAAGTTTAGAAATAGTGTAAAAATACAAAGGTAAATAAGATAAAAAGCAAACATTTAAATGAGAATCAGAAAAAGTACATCAGTTGAGTTTTTGAGTCAACTTTCTGAGAAGGAAGTGAGGGAGTTGCTGTACTTTTCCCACAGAAGATGACAGGATTCCCCCGAGCCTCATCTGTCCCTGAGGGGGTGTGTTTGACAAAGAGAGGCGGCGAGAAGGGAAAAAAGCAATTATGAGCACAAAGATCCCAAGAACACTGCTGATTTGGTCAACACAGCTGAGGCAATAGTCCGACACCACCAACCCCCTACTCAATCCATTTCTCACCCGGGTCTCGCTCACACATTTCATCTTAAAATATGAGCTTATGGGTTTGAGTACCATCTCTGTACTGTGTTTACAAGTTCTCCAACTGAAGATGAGACTTGTTTTTATAAAAGGAAAAAAATACTGATTTTAAACACAATATCAAGTGCTCCATCAATATACAGTATTCTACACCAGAACAGCTGCCAGAGGAGACAAGTGGAGGACAGCATGAGACAGAGGGTGATAACATAAGACAACTTACCTTAAACAAATTATTAAAAAGCTACAAGAAAACACTGATGATCGTCCTCATCCAGAGTCAAAGCTTCACTGTGTTCAGTCAGAGCGATTCCTGCCTCTGTGGCTCCACGAGTGAGCGGGAAGGGAAGGCAGCGAGAGAACGAGGGGAGGGAGGGAGGATGGATGATGGGAGGAGGTACGATGGGAGAACCCTGACTAATGAAGTGGCTACGCTTCACTAAGCTCTGACCATCCCTTTGCCTCCCCCCAACAATCCTATCACACTGGGACCCTCTCACAAAGAGGCCATTGTTTTCTTTRCCACACACACACACACACACACAAAACCAGGAACTCCTCAATCAGGATGCAATGAAATGGAATGAGAATGGATAGAGGTGGAGATTTACCCCTGCTTCCTTTTCATCTCTATAAACAGACCAGACCCCACCAGTCCACAGAACAACCCCCAAACATCCAAACCAGTACCAAGTGTGTCCAATCCTGGTCCTCGATGGCCACTATCTTGCATGTTTGATATTTCTTTACTCCGACACACCTGGTTGGATCGAACGGGTGATTTAACAGCCTCTACAGGACTTGGGGGTCATTTAATCTCCAATTCTGGTGTGTTGAACCAGTGGTACCAGCAAAACATGCAGGATAGCTCAAGAACCAGAAATGGACACACCTGGTCTACTTCAAATAGCCTGATGTTGAGCTGGAGGCTGAAGATTGATGACTAAGAGTTAAATTGTGTGTACACGTAATTGGTTCAGGTGTTTGTTGGTCAATCATTTTTGCTTAAGTGACCAGAGTTTCTTTGTTCAAACAAGGCAAAGACTTCAGCATCATTTTATTTTCCACATTTAAACACAAGAATGACCACTTTATAGTCAAGTGCTTCGACCTTTAGAGGAACAATCCAGAAAGGATCTACTATCTTCCAGCTTATAAGCATTCATGTAGGGTCAGACTGACCACAGGACAAAGAGTGGATCTGTAGCTCTCAGCTCCAGTTGTGTCTTTTGGAACATAAGAGCACAGCTCCCCAAGACACCCACATAAAGTCAAAATGTCAAGCAGAGGATGTTGACAGCTGAAGCCAAGAAAGAGGCAGCAAAAGACAAAAAGTGGTTTTCTTTCTGTGAGCCACATAAAAGGGCAGGGATTGACATGCTACCACGCACATTCTCCAACGGTCATTTGGAGGAAAAACATCTGACAAAGCTGTTCTTATGTTGAGCTCCGCTCCTCTTTTTAAGCATGTCAAGGATTTCCCATGACCCATCAACCACAGTTCCTTCTTTGTAGGGGTTAACGCTCAAATGAGACAAACCAGATAACTAGTGCGGGTTAAACTAAGGGTGGACTCCGATTAACAACCTCAGACAATCATTCAAATGGGGTTAATCAGAAAACTTTAGATTTAGATAAAAACCACAGGCCGACACCAGAATGTGTTTAAGTGGCTGAAAAAAATCTTCCTTTTCAAACATCAAAAGAGGACTTCCACAGGACTGTATATTAGGGCCACTATTATTCAGTCTCTTTATAAATGACCTTCCTGCTGTTTGCAATGGTGTAAATTGTCAGCTTTATGCACCTGCTAAGACACCAGAGCAGGCAGCTGATATTCTGTCTGACTGTATGGAGGAAGTGAAACGTTGGCTGTTCAATAATGAGTTGGTAATTAATTTAAGTAAAACTGTGTCAATGTGCTTTTCCATTAGAAAACAGCATGTGCAACAAAATTTTAAAGTTTATTTATGGGATGTGAAAGAATAAAAAATGTAACGGAGGTTAAATATCTTGGCCTGTTTTTAGACCCACATTTAAAATTTGAGAATTACATAAATTTTCTCTAAAAAATAAAAATAAAAATCAATTGCTTTAAATTAATAAGACCCTATATTCCTGTTCAGTCTGCTCTTCGGTACATGCATGCCATGATATTTTCTCATATCTCTTATTGTATGATAACATGGGCTCAGGCCACTACAACAGCTATTAAACAATTGTCTCATTGTATAATCAAACAGTAAAAGTAATGGACAAAAAACTGATAAGATCTCATCACTGTTTAATCTTGGAGAAGCATAATTTAATGACTTTTGAAAGTTTTTGTAACTTATGTTTTCTTAAATTAATATTTAAATGTCTTAATGAGTTAGCTTCTGATTCATTAAGTTCATTTATACAAAGGCAAAACAGCTACAGGGTCACTAGAGGATCATTACAACAGAACTCTATAACTCCCCTATGTAGACCCTCGTTTGGTCAGACTACCTTTTCATAAAAAAAGCACAACATTATGGAACTTATTGCCTCTGCAAATAAAAGCTACGTTTGAAATTTAAAAATTTCGTCCACATGACTAAATCTTGGCTAAAGAAAAACTAAAGATGTGATCATTTTTAGTATTTAGATTTAATGAGAACAGTCTGTGTAGGACTGTATGTGTTGGTGTGTTGTAGTGACAATTTTTAGCGTGTTGGCTAATGTGAGACGACGGAGAGGTACCTGGGGTTGTGTATGGTTAATTTTAGAGGTTCTAACGTTATTTGAACTGTTTGTCTCAGAATTTTAAATTGTGCATTTTAATGTTTTGTACAATTTTTTTTGATAATTTTTATTGCTTGAATTTGTAAGTTGTATTGGTTGATTTTATGAATTTGTTGGCAGACATGCTTATGTATTTTTAGTGTATATGATGCATAAACTGTATGTATTTTATCTGTGTAGAAATGCCTAACCAGGGACTGGGGTTGCAAATTAGCTACAGCTATATACTCTTTGTGCAATGCATCAGTTACAGACTTGATCTGTTCTGTTTGTTTGCATTGTCCCTGTTAAAAAAAGATAAAGAATTCCGTCCATCTGTAGAGTGTCAGTCTCAACATCCCTCTGTTTACACTTCAGCATTTGCTCTCTTCATAATAAAGTCTGTTTTTGTA